GCGTGTAGCTAAAGTCTGTATACAGTATGGACGTTTAGGTAACGCAGTGACCTATTAACGAAGAATAGCAACCTGTAATATACTTACATCAATTTATCACATGGATATTATCGCCAAAGGCTGACCTTGTTCTTAGAGATAAAGGTGGTGTTTTGTTTGTTATCATAATTAGATACGTCCTACATTATGCTACAAACAGGATTGTAATTTATTCCACAGATCATTTATTCTTCTTGGTTGCTCTGTCAAATTTTCAGGTATACAATACATCACCTGTTACTGGCTTTGTGTTTGGATTTATTTTGGGATTCTTATCAATACACTTGATTTATAGTGTGTATAATCATTGAATAAAAACACTAATATATTCAATGGTATAATCAATGTCAATACTTATATACATAATATATTGGTCAACTTTTAATGCTCTGGTTTTATCAAGGTCTTTGGGTTTTATAGAAATATTTTATCATTAACGACCCTCGCGATCGTTTATAATTTTGTATTGCTGTCCGTCTGTCTGTCCCTGTGTACGATAACTTTGTGTAGAAACGTCCGATCGCTTTGAAAATAGACACACATGTTCTTCAGGATATAAGAAAGGTCCCTATTGTTTTTTGGCTATGTAGACTAACGGGCCAAAAAGTTACAACCCAAAAACTGCCCAAACCTACAAAAAAAAGGGTTCTGTTATAATTCTTGTTACAAAGAACATATGAATATCCGGTTTTCTGTGTTAGTAGATGAATTTTTAAAAAATTGCGCATGTGCAACCCAACTTTTGTATTTGAGCAATCCCATTTTTTTTATTTGTTATATTTAAATGAAATTTTGTATGTATATGCACCTCCCACCTCGTATAAAAGTAAAAGTAATGCTAATTCAAAAATTTGTTTTACAAGCTATGCTGATCTGGTGGAACAGAATCAATCCCTGCGTTGTAAAAAAGATGCATGTGCGAAGATCTCGAGAATCGTTCGGTATTCAGTTGTATCGGATTTTTTGGTCTAATATTGAGGCTAGAGTAGGGCTCTGATATGTACCACAATAGCGATAGTCGGATCTCATAAAACACTTATGTTTTTACCTCTTAATAATGCCACAGATAAAATCTCAATCCCCTAAGAACTTGATTAAGGGTGGTGAATGGGGGTGGGGCTGGAAACAAGTTTTTAATTAAAAAAAGGGACATTTTTTAAATTGCAACCAGTACTTGCACGACGCAGATAAAATGTGTCGCTTTGGACATAGATTTTTTAATCTATGTCTTGGAGCTACACCCCCGAACGGTACCAAATTTGCGTTTCTAGTTACATTTTCTTCTTATGAACACAACAAGTAAGACTCTCTGGGATTTTGGATGTATTCTTTCTAATTTTGTATTTCCAAAGATGCACCCTTAAACGGGCGTGTGAAAAGTCTGGTCCCCCCAAAATTTTATATTTGGAACTGCAATTGCGGACAGTTTCTTCGTGTGACTTTAAAAAAAATTATGCGCACTTCATCGTTGAAATAACCTAAACATATTGCACCAAATGTTCGTCTTACAAAAAAGTGGTGCGCATAGCGAATATGGCAGAGGGCAGTTCTAGCGCATTTTCCAATACATGTTGGAAGGCGCTATTATTGGCACTTTCTCCGTCGGTCCACTCGAAGCTGCATCTACTCTTACAGTTTTCAAGATATTTAGTTCGTTCTGTTTGCATTCGGTAGCTTAGGGTATAGTAACAACCAAGAACCAAGAAAATTTACACCAATTGCTTGCTACTGCGCCTGACCAGCGGCTGGTAAAGTTAAAACCAGTTATGTAGGTATTATTACATATTCATCATCCTTTATATCTCTTTTCTTGTTAGAAACAATACCTACTAACCTGGTACCTACATTTAAAACATAATATGCGCATGGTCTGCGCGTACAGAAGACAACTGTTGATTTATTAAGATATTCGCATGCATTATTACCAATGGACACACAACTAGTAGAATCGTTACCAAGAATATGTTTTCCGCTTGGCGACATATCGCATATATGGTAAAAACCAGATGTGCGCATACGCATACTGCGCAATGTGCCAACTTTATAGTCATTTCTTTGAAATTAGTAAAGAAAAACAAGGCACATAGTAAAAATTAAATGTGTCATGCGGAATCTGAGCGATATCATCTTTCTTAATCGGCTATTTTTTGAAATTTTAACCACATGTGCTTCTAGTAAAGGCAAACTTATCGCAGCATTTACCTATACTACCGGCATATCTGCACATGCATGATTCTACCCAAAAGCTTTTCTGCTCTTTCTTTTAGGTATGTCTAAACATATATGTACCAAATTTGGTTCCAATCGGTTCAGTCGTTTACCTGAAAATGAGAATACCGACAGACAGACAGATAGAGATAATCCAGATTTTGTTTGATTCGGCTTCGTGGTGCTTCAAAACGTGTATTTTTTATTATTTATGCTTCTCAGGTATAAATATTGAGAAAGGTACCTACACCATATGCTGACCAATATATATTATAAGTCTTAAATCAAATGTCATTTATAGCGCAACGGATGTTGTATTGAGAACCGCTGACTCCGTACGGCTGGTTTTGAGAAACTTTCACTCGTAGGGAACGGATTTTTACATTGCATTTCAGGTGCATATTATTAAATACAACTATCGGTCGCGTTATAAATGACGTTTCATTTACGATTTAATAATTTATGTTACATTGCTGCGCATATGGACTATAGTTTACTGACGATATGTACTATATCTTGTCATAGAGTAGTATACTTTAAGTTGTGCTGCGTAAGGCGGACGTGAGATTACAAATTGTGCTGCGTAAAACTGGCTACGTAAATACTTGTACACGTGCTGCCATCCAGTGATGTATAACTTCATTTATTGGGTACTGTTTCCGAAAACAGAATTCAAAAATTCGCTTTTGTTTCCGAATTATGGCGCGGTAAAAAGGACGGACACAAACGATCCGAAACCTATAGTATACACTATGTCCAAGATAAAGATGTTTATCATGGGGATCTCCGAAGCTATAGAAGGTATGACGATAGTCAATTTGAGGAAAAGTTGCACAATTAACCAGGTAGGTATTTACCATGCTCTAAAGAAAACCAGAAAATTCCTGTTACTTCCGGTTCCGAAGATATGCCGGACAAACCCAAATTTCCCGATTTCGTCTTCATTTCATTATAGCCCGATAGGGCACAAAAGATGGCAATGAGAAAGTGTTTGTTATTTTTTTGTATCTATTCAAATCCCATCAGAAAATAAAACGAAATCGGGAAATTTCTGTTTTTCTGAAATCGGAATTTTTTGGGTTTCTTTAAAGTATGGTGGTTAATTGCGCAACTTTTCCTCAATTAGACTATCGTCATACCTTCTATGGTTTCGGAATCCCCATGATAGACATCCTTATCTTGGACACAGTGTATATGCCCATCTCCGTTGCGGATCAACTATCTTGTGTGTGTTACCCAATTCGAGATTATGGAATTCAGAACGTAGTTCCGTATAGAGCATTAAATTGTTTTCATAAGAAGGTTTATTATCTGACATTAAAACACAATAATGATTATGAAATTTTTGAGTTTTTTGTACCATTTTTATACGAATAATATTTCAGCACATTTTGAAATTCTGATTAGTTTCGGGTCGATATGCAGAAGTTTTGCTCTAAAATGTATATAAATCATAATAAATATTGAAAGCTCTTATTTCAGAATTGGCGAGATTTTTTTGCATAGATTTCAATGGGAAATATTTTTATTTGTTACTCAGTTGTAAACGTTGATTAACAAGACAAAACGGAAACGGGTAAACGTCATGTTTAAACGCTACCGACTTGTAAAACTGACAGCTGACCTGTAAAAATTTTACAAGTTAGTAGGTACCTAATCTAGTAATTTCATTGGCCAGAATTAGTGCGAAGTCTCTGTTACTAGGATATCATGATATTTTAGACATTTCTGCGAGATCAATTTAAGAACTAATTATTTACGTTTACTATTGTTTACAAATGAGTAACAAATTAACTATTGTACATTATACGCCAGGCTAATGTAAAATACAGTTTTAAGAAAAATTACTATCAAGATCAAGTTCACACGAAAGGAGATTAAAAGTCTGCCAACAAAAATAATCAAATGTGTATATAGAATTTATTGTAATCTTATACTGGATGACATCATCGCTTACCCGCGCTCATGAACAATAGCTTCATTGTCCTGTGTACCTTGCTGTAAAAGAGCCGTAGAATTTTATCATTCATGTTGCAGATTTCTGTACAGTACTAGCGTTGAGTAGCGTAATCATTTCGAGAAAAGAATCTGTATTTTTTTACCGACAATCTTTAGTGGATGGTAATATCATTGAATTTATGATAGTTATAAATTCAATGGTAATATTGACCCGCGCGCGACATCTATAACTCTTAAATATGCGGTTTCCAAAACGTACATGGAGATGCATGGAGGTTGTCTCACTATTCTATTCTTTACACTAAGGAAGCATCCAACTTAAAACGCTTCTAGATACCGGGCGTTCATTTACAGAGAGCTCACTACAACTGGTAACTTCACGGCGGAAAACGGGTACTTTCGTTACAGTATAAATGCAAAGAACGCTGTGCACTTTTGACCCCAATGCGTTCGCGGTAAAGTTCATTTAAGCGTTTTGGAGTTGCTCGGACGAAATTAGTGACCAAATTTGAACTCGGTTCTTAGAGAATCTCAAAGGAATGTCGTGTGAGCGATTAGTTAAAAGTAGCATCAGGTTTTACTCATTTGCTGTCACTTCGGAACCTAATTTTACAGGATCACTCCACTCAAAATTAAATAGTATCAGTCTTTAACCAAGGATGGTTGTTGATGACGTGTACGGAACGCAACAAGGATATCGAAGAGTAGATAGATTTAGCGTATCTCACAATCAACTGCTTAGTAATAGTGAATCATAGCAACTGTGGCCCACTTTCCCATCTCGTCGATTATTTCCACTGTTATCTAAAACAATTATGATTGTGATAAATGGGCGACTACTTAAACCGGGAAATACAATATACTTGGCATTCAAAATGAAGACTCTTCTAATAATACTCCTTTTCGTCAGCACAACCAAACTATCCCTGAGTGCGATAGGTGCAACTGTGCAATGTAAGTGAAATTTTTTTCGGTTTCGTAATTTTCAATTGGTCGAATAGATTACTACTGGAGAGACTACACTGGAATAGTTCCGAATGACGCAATCGCCGGTGGGGTGGATTCCCATGGGAGAACTACATACGTTGCACAGATCAGCGTTCCGGCAATTCAAGATCCAACTCGTCTTAGAGTTGAAGCAATACCTGCAGTATTACAAGCAGAGAAGATGTCGGTGTATGCGCCTTACAATGGCAACGTCATTTCCACTAACGCAAGCAGTACTTCGGTGAAGGTAACAGATTTCTGTATGATCACCACTTTAATACCTTTTCTAGGTTTTGTGTGCCCCGAACTCTATACACTTTATATGGCATACGCCATCTACAACTCTACCACATGACCATAGTTACGTTATAGTCGGATACGAATCCTTGTCACCTGTGTTTCTTGGTCGTGCGCAAATAAATAATGAAACTATAACTGGCAAATTAAATGCGAACAATGGATATCGAGTACTTGAAGTGGCACACAATGGTTCTTCAGTTTACATGGAAACGTATACAATACTAACGTATACTGGTTAGGACAACAAATACAAAATTCCTGTAAAAACTACACTAATAAATTGGAAATAGAGATGGATTGGGCGTTTAGCCACTCAAAGATGGTAATTAATAAATATTTCAAAAAGAGATACTTACAAAATTTATTTATTTTTAATGATGTATTGCCGCTTCTCTATCGGTTTCACACTATTTGTAATGGTGACCGATTTCGTGTTAGACATTCTGTCATACGCAAATTACAATTTATCTCGGAGTTTTATCAGTGTTTTACCCATGATCCCATAATTGCAATTCACGTGCTTATTTTTTCGTTGAATTTGCATGACGTTCACGTCATTTTATATCGTTTGCGGCAAATTATAACAAAAAAAGGTAAGAAGGTACATCTGCGCGATTTGAAACGCTTGATTGGATTTCTTAGTCTATTTTGTTTATGTGTTCTCCAAACATTTACAACTGCTTCATAGTAAACGTGAACTAAAGGGGTCCGCTAACCCCCCCCCCCCACTGAGAAATTTTATAGTCGTATTATTTTAAAATGAATGCGCTTGTTATGCGCTCATATGCGCCACATTCTTGCGCCATTATCGTTTTTTAGAAATCCGAAAAAACATTTGGGAAGGGCCAAGTAAATGTAGCCCCCCCCCCCCCCGTATGGATTTTGTCGCTTGTAACTAGGTCACCTGATACATTTGGTAATGCGCTCAATTGCGCCACTTGAATTAAAGCTAGCGCCATTACGGTTAAGCCATAAAAAATTTTTAAAAAGTGGGGGGGGGGGCTAACAACGTTTTCAAAAGTTACGTTTTTTAACAAGTTTTTCTACTACATAGTACCTTTCATCATGCGCTAAAATGCGCCGTAAACATAAATCTTTGCGCATTATAGTTTTTGAGAACCTTTTTAAGTACCTATAGAACTATAACGCTATTCATTTTAAGAAGTTAGCGGTAGAAAGCACAGGGACAGTTTAACCTTCACTGTGATTGGTTAAAAGACGAGTCACTATTACTCTGAAAAATAAAACGAGTGACGAATTCTGTCTGTTAGAAGTTTCAATTACGAACTAAACTGTCGAACTGTCATTAGCTGTCAATTTCAAAGAACCAAGCGTGATATCGTTAAATTTATATTTATATTCTTCAAATTTTGTGCCGTTTTATATTTTTCCTGTGTGTGTCTATCTTCAAACACAGCGCCATCTACTACCTTCTTATAATCAATACAGATATATATGGGTGTGCGAGGGTAGATGACAAATTTTTTAAAGCCAGTTATAACTGTTTGTATACCTCTACTATAACTTTAAAATATGATATTTCAGCAAAATAAATCATATTATTGCCAATTTATGCAATTTAAATTGTAGATTTTTATTCTAGCGCCAAAACGCTGTTTTGTGTCATGGCGGTGTCTGTGACGTCACAGTCCTGACAATTATAAACACATAACCCCAGCGTAAATAGTTTAAAAGATTTCGGGATGAATTATAACTACCGTAAGTGCTGCCCTGCCATGGAGTATACTTTGTAGGGCTCAGCAGTAACATTTTTCTGTAGCACAGCTAAGTATCCCAGGCGAGTAAATCTCGTTCCAAGGATGCTGTATCATTCAAATTATTCATGGAGTAGAGAAATCCCGAAGGGTTTTTGACGATTGCTCATTAAACGTAATATAGAAAACTATATTGACATGAGTACCACATTTTTCACATACGTTAACTCCTGAGGCGTGCAGTAGACGACAATTTGGACAACTTCCGAATCCGATTGAGCCATTTGCCGATAGAGTTTCGAATAATCTGACTAGAGATCATGACTTGTTAAACGTGATAAAGGAGACTTTATCGACACTAGTACTCCTTTGGACTCTGAGGGGTTGTAAAAGTAGCTTGATGGTAGGGTAAAGAAAATCATTGTTTTCTTCGTCGACAACTAAAGAAACTGCATACAGCTTTGCGTGAACCGTATGTTGCGGGAAAATTTTGACTTAACTGTGAATAAGTTGCCAGAGTCTTCTTTTCGACTGCACCCAATGTAAGGTTCCATAAGAATGCCCGCCATAAAAACTGTTTTTCCAAAAAAAATTTGTTTTAAGAACTACTTTATAAATTTAGACGTTTATCTACAAAATGTTCGTAACAGAAAACTCTTAAAGTGGACATCTCCATATGATAGCTTCGATGACCTAAAAACAAAGCATCTTAAGTACACATTCCTCTTAAATAACTACATTTCTTGTAAAAAATTTAAGCTTAACTTAAAAACCTACAAGACTTGTGACAGTTTTCTGATGAACAAAAATCTGTATTTGATGCAAGAAATATTCCCAACATCATTTCATCAATGTTTGGCAGATTTGCTGCTATCAGCTTTCGTATACCCACTTTTCATTTTTATCTGGTTTTAAAAAGTATACTTTAGGATAATATAATCACTATAAAATGGAACAAGCACTAAATTAAACAAGTTGTAAATCAGCATATGCATGATTAAAGCGCATTTTTGGTAATGCAGGTCAGTATTTTATTAGCGAAGTTTAAAATTATCGATCTCACGAGTCATTTTGGCTGCGTTAAATAATTAATTTTATTTAATTTCAATTGACGGTACGTCTTCATTTTGTAAAACAAATCACAAAGTAAATAATAAGTTTTTATACTGGTAGCGCTATCTAACGGTAAAATTATAGCACCTCCGAAACCCATATCGAAATTATTTTCTTCAATTATCGATTTCACAAGTAATCTAACTCAAAATAGAGTAGTGCCTGCACATCTACACTATAGCAGAAAGCTTTTAGTGAAAATTTGAAGTCTCTAGCTATTGTAGTTGTGGAGATCTAACGCGGACAGCCGGCCTGCCAGCAATGACGAATATAATAGCGTATTTTTTTCAAAAATGCGCTAAAAACGTAGACAAACTCTACAAACGCACAGAGGATTAGGATAATGACGTCACGCGCTCTGATTGGCGTTTGATATCACGTGACAAATGTCGTTATTTTTTAATTTTAGTTTTACTAAAATATAATAGTTTCTCGTGTACATTACCAAAGAAAGATATTTTGGGATACCCTGACACCTTACTCTATCTTATGAAACAAAAACTTATGTATTCTTTTTCCACTGTCATGTACCCTATTGTGCAATTTTAACTCGGTTTGCAATAATCGCCAACAACTCATAGGTATTAACTTACTTGGTTTGGAGTTGATGCATTTATGCCGCAATGTAGTTCATGTATTAACGATCCTCGAGATAGTTTATAATTTTGTACTGCTGTATGTCTGCCCGTCTGCCTGTGCACGATAACTTTGTTTAGAAACGTCCGGTCGCTTTGAAAATTGCTACACATGTTCTTAAGGATATAAGAAAGGTCGCTATTGTTTTTTAGTTACGTAGACTAACGGGCCAAACAGTTACACCCCAAAAACTGCTCGAACCTTCAAAGAATGGTATCTTTTATAATAAATTCTTGTTACAAAGAACATGTAAATGCCCGGTTTTCTGTGTCAGTAAATATTCATTAAACCTAAAACAATTTTGAAGATGAAAAAATAATATTGCGCATTGTTAAGATATTTAAATGAAATTGTATGTACGCACCTCGAGTAAAAGTAAAAGTAATGCTAATGGGAATGCGGAGAAGTCAAAGATACTATTAAGACGATGGATGTTAGTGCTATTTGATTTGATCGTCTGTTAATAGTAGTAATACTGTAATAGTAATAGTAAGAAAATGGTCATCCAATTTAAAAAAACCTGAGTTTTTAGTCGTTGAAGTTTCATAACTTTGGATCTCCATAGGTCCGGTTGTCCGCAACATAACTTTTTTTTAAGTACACTAAATGAAAGCCCTATTCATTCTCTATGCACTGATAAAAATGGGTTGCTATGACTACAACCGTTTTCAACAGGGCCGGCACTTCTTTATTTTGACGTGTGGTGCTCTACGCCCAGAAGAAACGATTTTGAAATTCAATGTTTTTATTAATTGGATTAGGAGGAGTAAACGGGGGATGAAAAGAGAAAATAGAATAAACAATATATTGCACATCTCATTACATTGCCATCGAAAAAGTAGAAGCACGTTGCGCAGATCGCGAAATCCACTCCTTCATCAGGGGTTTTAAATCCAACGCCGCAGTATAATCCCGATGTACATGGAGAACGGCTACATGATTGAGTATCTTGCCTTAAATTCGAACGCAAATAGGTCTTCAGCCTGCGAAGTGCAGAAAAAGATCTTTCTGCCGTACAAGTCGAAGCAGGGATGGTAAGAAAAGAATGTGTCGTTTGTTGCGCGTGTAGTGCTAAGCACCACCACTTTGTTTTCCGTCTGGTGCTCGAGCCTTTGCGCACTACTGGAATTGCCGGCGCTGGTTTTCAAGTAAGTAATCAATTATCAAAGTACCATCTGCATCCGCCATTTCTTTTCTTAAAGTCAAAATAACTTAAAAACCATAAATGGTAGATATCGACATGTGGATATCAAAAGAACTGAAATTTCACGTAGAATCCAAAAATGTAATAAAAAATAGGGGTTGCCATTTAAAATAACGAAGTTACTAGCCACTTCCGGTATTTCCGGAAGTGCGTCCATTTTGAAAATATTTTACATCGATTCTATCGGAGTAACTCCCAAAAAAAACACCCTGTATAGTGTTTCTGAAACACTATAATGGCGCAAAGATTTTTGTTTACGGCGCATTTTAGCGCATGATGAAAGGTACGATGTAGTAGAAAAAACATGTTAAAAAACGTAACTTTTGAAAATGTTAAGTTAGCCCCCCCCACTTTTTAAAAATTTTTTATGGCTTAACCGTAATGGCGCTAGCTTTAATTCAAGTGGCGCAATTGAGCGCATAACCAGATGTATCAGTGGCACAAATACCGGTAGCAAAATGCGTTATGGGGGGTTCCGTTCACTTGGCCCCTCCCAAATATATTTAAGGATAACCAAAAAACAAGAATGGCGCAAAGATATCTTTTTACGGCGCATTTCAGCGCATACCTGAGAGTACAATTTCGTATGAAAAGATGTTAAAAAAAAGTAACTTTTAAAAACGTTAAGTTGGCCCCCCCCCCCACTTTTTGAAAATTTGTCACGGCTTAACCGTAATGGCG